AGTATAGGAATTGATGAAACAAACATATTTGGTCTAAATTTTAAGCTTAACAATAATTCGGTTTTTAATAACAAAATAAAAATATTGGTACAAGAGAAATTAAGTGAATATCCATGTTGTAATTTATTCAAATGCTCATAAAAATTTAATTTCACTTTCCGGTAGACATTTTTTATTTGATAAAACAAACTATAATGAAGAATCTCATATTGAATATTCAAATCTAAGATTTAAAAGCATAAATTGCGATATTTCGTAATTTTTTTGTATTTTGTCAAAATTCGAACTTTCAATACTTATTAAAAATATTGTGGCTATGTATTTTTAATTTTTTTTTCATTGCCATTGTGACAGTATATTAGGCACCTTGTATTAAAATTTGAAGCTTTTTTACGAAACGAATAAAATTTGAAAATGTCAAATGTTTATAAATAACTTAAAACGATTTGAAATTTTTTGAAATTTTTATCAAGTATAGAAAATTTGATTTCAACATTCAGTGAAAATTTTATGTGTTTATGGTAATTTGTTTTAATTAATGTAATATTAAACGCAATTGGGTTTTTTTTTTTTAGGGGTTATAGGCGCTTAATTTACTTACCTATCATTATAAATATTAAAATACTAATTTAGGAAGTATCTATAATACTATATTTTAATACTTATTATTATGTTAGGGGTGTTCCATGGCTCCTATGGGTGTCTCCGGATATGTTTCTAGTGAAGGGCAAGATAAATTTAAAAAATAAATTAATTTTTTTTATAAATTTTAAAAGTAATCTATATTTTCCTAAACTTATTGACACATTACAGATAATGTTTTGGAAAACAAATTTAAAATTCCATGGAGGGCAGGTGGAGGCATTCTGGGGATGCCCGCGGCTGCAGGAGCCTCCTAATTTTAAGGTCTGCTTTAGTGCTTACGGTATTATGCTAATGTCGTTGCTGATGTCTGCTGCAATAGTTTAATTGAGTATAATTAAATTCACAGAATAAAACTATATAATGTTTACCATAGTAAAATGTTCATTTTTTTTATCATTTTTCATCTTGCGACACTGATGCTTATCAATATTCTTGTTTTGCTGAAGCCAGAATGAAAATATTACGTATTTTTAATGCATAGGCTGATAAACTGAAAGCCTGATGGTAGTTTCTCGAATTCTCGATTATTTTTTAGTAAATTTTATTTTTTAATGATTGTTGTGTATTTGTCATTTAAAATTCTTCAGATTCAGATTCATATAAATTATAAATCTTTGTGTCTATAATTTAAAATTTTCTCTGTTAGCTTAAATTAATAATTACTCAAGTAAAATGTCATCTATAGCACCTCAAAGTGTTTTAAAATCACTAGAAGTAGTGGGTGAAATTTTCCAGGAAGAAAATATAAAAATAAGTGTTAAAGAATCTGTTAAAGGTGGTCTTATAACAGGGATTGCAGCTCTTGTTGGCGGATTACTTGGTGGAAAGAGTGGTTTAATTGCTGGTATAGTAGAAGTATTAAAAATTATAATTTATTTAAATTTTGTATACAAAACTAAAAAACATTAAACTTTATACAATCTATTGGTATTTGTCATATTTCATAATATATGTTTAACAAATTTGTATAATTAAAAAATCCTTTTTTTTATTAAGAAGTAAAGTTACATTCATTTTTAAATCATATTTAATTTGCTTGTTGTAACGTTTTCAACAATATTAGTGTATAGTTAAAAAATATATTCTTTTTTTTAACAATTTCACTAATGAACTTAAACATAATTCTTAAATTAATGTCAGATAAAAAGGCATGTGACAAATATTTTGAAATAAAATTATGTAGAAAAATATATATTATTATAAATTACTTAATTGAAGCTGCTGATGATTGCCATTTACAATTTTGTTTAATTGTGGGCAAATTTTGTCTTTTTTTTTAAATAATTAGTAAATGTTTGTCATTTTAGGTGGAGTAATGGGTACAGTAGCTGCTTGTTCAATGACTAAAGATTTTAAGTCTCTTCTACAAGTCATACATGAAATGGACTATGAAAAACAAAAAAAAATGTTTGATACCATACAAAATGTAGTTACATCAATTGACATGAGTGATGTAGTTAAATTTATGGTTTTATTAAGCACAAGTCAATCAATAAAACAAGCTGTCATTCATGAAACTATAAATTTTTTGCGCAATGAAATGAGTTTGGAAATTTTGGGTTCTTAATTTAATGTTTTTATTGTTAAAAGAATAAATAAATTTTCTATGTCAGTAATCTGTTTATAATGTAAAATTAATGAAAATATAAAATAAATCACAAAATTATTGTTTAAAATGAATTGCTTTTTAGTGTATTAAATTTAAGTTAAAAATTGTATTGATGATAATATACAAATTTTTATAAGGTAATTCAAAATTCAATTTTTAATGATTAATCAGACATTGGCTCCTCCACATCGTCTTTTCTTGTTAATATATCAAGATCTTCATCATCAAATGTCTCGTATGACATATCCTCACTCATTGAACCATTATCATCTAAGCTATCTGTTAAGTCGTTTAACGCAGACATGAGTACGTGCAGTTGTTTTCGTCTTTTATCTAGTTTTTGATTAATTTCATTTTTTGTCATCTGAAACCAAATTATTTCAACATTAGTATAATATTAACTTTGTAATAAATTTTATTATGACAATACTTGTAATGTTTGAAGTTCATCTTTTAAATCAACAAGGCGTTTAGCAGTATCGGTTCTAGGAGGATGCTGAATAATGAGCTTGGCTAGAACGTCATACTCCATTCGATTTCGCCTTATGGTTTTGGCTTTTTTTAATTCTTCTTTTGCGTGATCTATCTCAGTTTTTGTATTTGTTATATTATGATCAATTTCACTAGACATATTGTCATACATTAGCATTTCTTCTACATTCATACGTGAAACAGCTTGAGATTTCTTCATTGCATGCTCACATAAATTGAGATGAACCAACATTTTTTCCATAGMCTTTTGACTAAAAACACAATTAATGTTATTTAATTAATAACTTACACACATTTATCTAATTTTGATTAAAGTAATATTCAAGCCTAGCTTTAATACTGATTTCACAATATATAAATAATAGATAGATACCTATTGGATCAAAATGAGTTTGTAAATTACTTAAGTGTACCTTTCAACAGGATCTGTATATTTAGTATTACACCATTTCAAATATGTTTTAAGCAAAACATTTAAACGCCTATCATCACCAATTCCATCACCATCAATGAGCAGCTTACGCCAAATTACTTCTTCTATAAAAGGAAAAATATATATATAATTATTTATAAATCATGGTACTTTTTTGAGTATTTTTCAAACAACATAAATCACGCAAATTAAAAGATAATACCATTGAAATACTAATAATATGAAAGATTTATGTTTTTAGATAATCGATACTAAAACTAATGCTCAGAATCCAGAACATTAAAATACATATTGGTTACACTTTCACTATGATAGTTCCATAAACATTTTTTTTTTTATTTCACAGCTTGGCGCTTGTACAAGTTGCTTGGTGCTTAGAGTTAGGAAAAAATATAGAAATAAGAAATTGTTGACACGATGAAAAAACCTCCTGTTGGAGGAACTTAATCGATATCTAATCACAAAAATTATTTACCGTCATTCATATTTTAATAATAGTAACCATCAACTGAGATTAGAATGTTGTAAAGCTCGCTATTTAAACGACCGTTTTGAAATTTAATTATTATAACACTGTAATGTCTGAAATCCCCATGAATTAAGATAAATGGATAGTTGTCAGTTGRGTATACCTTAATTCATGGAACTCACTGGTCACTACACACGATTATATGAACTTTAATGATAAAAGTAAAAATGCTTAATATAATAAAAATAAGTATGATGTATATAATAAGAATAATAATGGATTTTTAATAATAATAATATTAAATTTGTGAATCGTGTTGATAACTCAAAGATATCTACAATTTAAGTTGGTAACAAAATATGTGGACGCGGATAATGTTATGGATTCAATGGATTTAGCCTKGGGTAGTGGGGTGCCCGGGGTCACTTAAAACCGATAAAAACAATATAAAATAAGCAGCATATTTATCTTACTTCATCACTATTTTGTTTTTACTCTAAAGATTTTGCAATTCTGTTTATTTATTTTGTAGTCCGCTTAATTTTAATAATTCACCAATTATTTTATTATCTTGTAAGTATTAACTAACATTTTGGTTTAGATTTAGACCCACGATTCGTTGTGCAGTTGTGCTATGGTCAAAACTACCGCAATTAATATATGTTTTATTAAACATAATATAATGTCACACCTGTAGCTCATTATAATTTGTTTATTTTTATTTTTTTGAATGATTAATAACTTATTAATCAAACCATTCACCAAAAAAAAAAATTAAAAAAATATATAACTAATTTAATTAATTATGAAACTATTCATGTTTATAAAATGACCATCTAAAATAAATTATTAATTGACTACTTTTCAATTAGGTAGCTTTTGTTAGTGTGATATGATCTCAAATATAAATTTATGTATATATAATTTACAATACTATGACAAAATAAAACCATATTTTGTGTTTTTAATTTATATTGCACCAATAGTGGTTGAAAATACCAAAATGTGACTTACAATATTAAAAACTTAATAGCGATTAATATCTTTATATCAAAATTTATATGTTTGAAGTAGCTTCTTATGGAACTAAATAACTGATGCATTTTACTTGCTCACTCTCAATTTAAAATTTTCTTTTTTTGAACAATTTGTTTTTATGTTTAAAATTATGGAGTAGAAATTGTTTTTAGAAAACTATGATTTTAATATTTATTGGTTTCAATTTCAAAGTTTTGAAAAACACTACACAAGATAATAAAAACTTAAATATAAGCATAAAAATTAAAAACTAGGTAGTTGTTTTAGCGTTTAAAGATATTAGTGGGAAAGCTTTTTATTTTTTTTATTTTACATTTAAATTTTAAAATTTGTATGATAATTGTAAATATTATATAAAATGTTTTTATGTTACAGATAGTGAATACTTAATATGTCTGAAAGAAAAGTATTAAATAAATATTACCCCCCAGATTTTGATCCATCAAAAATTCCACGCATGAAACTTCCAAAAAATAGACAGTATACTGTACGTCTTATGGCACCATTCAACATGAGATGTAAGACATGTGGTGAATACATTTATAAAGGGAAAAAATTTAATGCCCGAAAAGAAGATGCTGAAAATGAAGATTATTTGGGTATACGTATTTATCGGTTTTACATCAAATGCACTAGGTGTTTACAAGAAATATCTTTTAAAACTGACCCACGTAACACAGATTACGAAATAGAGGAAGGAGCTACCCGAAATTTTATGGCTCTAAAACTTGCCCAAGAACAGGAAAAAAGAGAAGTAGATGCTGAAAAGGAAGAAGAAGCTACAAATCCTATGAAATTATTGGAGAATCGTACTCAACAATCTAAACAAGAAATTGAATTGATGGAATCCCTTGAAGAGCTAAGAGATTTAAATAGACGTCAAGGTAATGTGGATTATGATTCAATGCTATTAAAGTACAACCCTGCAGAATTAAAGGAGCAAATTAAACGGATGCAAGAAGAAGAAGATGAAAATACAGTAAAAAAATTGATGGGAATTAAGCGTAAGCTTAATGAAAATGAAGATGAAGAGATAGTAGAATCTGAAGATAATATAACTAAAATTAAGATATCAAATGTAATTACTTCAACAGCACAGTCTAGTGGGAAAAAAAAGGTTTCCAAACTCAACCTCTTGAACTTAGTTAAAGTTAATAATGTTTCAAGTACCAACAAAATAAAAGAATCTTGTAATTCATTATCACTAATTGGCAATTATTCCAGTAGTGATGATTCTAATTAGTCTAATAATAAATTTTAATTTGAAATCAAAGGTATAGTTATAAGTTTTTTTATCAATGTACTGTATACTATATTTTAATTGAAAATATTTGTAAGTTATAAATTTTCTTAAAATTGAGTACTGTTCACCTTATCGAATCCTTTGTTAATATATAAATAGATTAAGTCTAATGTACAAATTATTAAATGGCCGTAAGAAAGGGGGAGAAAGAATTGGACTCTGCCGTATACCTACTAAGTATCAAACTATCAAGTGTATCTTGTCAATGGATAGCTGCGATTCACCAATGGGGCAAATTAATGTGTTCAATTTTAAATCTATGAACAATGAATCATTGTAATTGTTAATAAAATATTCAGTGTAACTAATCTAACCCTTTTGGCAGTGGCGGGTCGTGTGCTCTGAAAGTAGGAGGGCGATATAAAATTGCTTATTTATGGAAAGTGTCGAACACAAACAGGGGCGGACTGGGATTAAAAATGTCACCGGGATCTAGAATTAGAGTGACCACATATATACAGAGTGATTCTTTTAAGTAGGTACACTAATTATCTCGAAAAGTATTTACTTTTTTCACATGGTTTCAAGTTGCTAAAAACCCAACGTTTTTATTAAAAAATTATATTTTTTATCCTTATCATTTTTTAAGTTTTTTACTTTTTTGAATGAGAACATAGTTTTAATTTCATATTCCGAAGAAGAATATTTTTCTAAGTATTTTGATACGTAAAAATCGAATTTAGGACGAGTAGTTTATGAGTTATATATATTTAAAGTTTTGACAAGCGGGGTAGTGGACAAACATTTTGCGAGGTAACCCCGTACCACTCCACTCCGCTCATCTAAACTTAGTTTAGTTAATATTATATCTTTTTCATATGACATTAGTATAAATGCTTTTAAGTTAGGTTGGCTAATGAGTAATGGATAATGAAATTTTTAATCGAATTAATATATACTTTAGAGTAGAAAAACTTCTTTCACACTAAATTTACTATCGATGTGCCCATCGAGAATAAAATTTGTTCAATATTATTATGAACAAAATTTTTTATTTAATTTTGGCAACAGCAACCACCGGCCCTGAACTCAAATAATATTAATAATGATAATTTATTTTACGTAGTGGTTATTTTCTCGTCCAAATGTCCGACGTGAAATTATTTGTTTTCACGTACTGCCCTGTGATTGGTCGTAATATTGATAAGAAATATTTCTCTATKAGTTATTTATAAATATTATAACTGAGGTTTTAACAATGTTAAAATTATAATACAATCATACAGAATACAGATTAATTTTAATAATTCAAGTCAGTTGTCAGTGTATAATAAATTATAAAATTATAGTAAGTAAATAAATCAATAAAATAGTTTAAAATTCATGGTCTAAATATTATATAGTATAAAACTTGATTAAATTTGAATTATTATTATTAAAAACCTTAAATGGGTATTTCAGCATTGGGGTATTTTATGATAACTATATTTGTTTTTTAACACTTATTAATTAATTTACAATTAATCATACTTATGTTCAGTGTCACAAATGTTGATATTTAAATCTCTATTAAATTTTATATTCACTACAAAATAGGTAACAAAAAACACTTAAAACGTTAATTAATTAGTTTGTTTGAACATTAGTAAGTAATCAATAAAAATAACTGAAGGTATCTATACCCTTTAAAATAGCCTTTGGGTATTTTGTTACAGGGATGTAGCCTGCAGGATATTATTTCAGGGGTCAGATTAAAATAAATAAATTATAATAAGTAATTTTAAGCATTCTTATTATTTAAGCAAAAATCAAATTATGTAAGTATAAAGTAATAATAATTGCATTATAATAAATATAAATATTGTGTAGATAAAATAATGAATACAAATAGAAACTGTATTTATAAGTATAATATAGATATACAATTTATTATAATTTATGATAATTTTCTTATTGATATTTCCATTATATCCAACATGTCTTTTGGTGAAACTGATATATCTCAAACAGTTAAAAAAGTTCAGATTCTATTCAGACTAAAAAAWTTTTTTAAATTTCGGGGTCCGAACCCCATGGACCCATCCTAGTTGACCTAGTTACGTAGTTGTTATATTAATTAAATAAAATCAATAATTCAAAATCATGCAGGTTTTCTTATCAATAAACAGTYGGATAAATAACTTTATTGGTTCCTTAAAGTGTTGGACTGTTGCACAGAAAATTCTTTAACATTTTGATGGTTAGTGCTCTAACCACAGTTTATATACCATAGTTACAAAAAATTATCATTCCATCATATATCCGCACTATTGCACCAAGGTAGAACCACAGAATAGATAAAAATACTATAATATTTTTATATATCTGTGGGTAGAACTGGCACAGTTCACTGATAATCGTCCCAACACCGGCTGGTGCAAATGTTGACGAAACATAAAATCTATACTTATTACTGATATATAAAGATAATAAAATATTCAAGGGGTATTGCAGTACTTATAATGATAATGCGCACGATCTCCAAGAGTAAATAATAAATATGCAAGCTCGGAATCCGTGCATAACGGCGAACGGGCGATTAAAACCATCGCCCGGCGGCAGCATTATTATTGTGTTCCCCCTACTTAGTTTTTGTATTCCAACCATAGCAATGACACAGATTATATAAAAATATGATATATAATATATTATGGGCCGGTTGCACAAAAAAAAATGTATTGATCCTATWACTTATTGGCTCTATAGGTTTTATCGGTTTGATAAAATATTTTATTAATAGATAAATATTAAAAATCGTTGCACAATTAATCATTACCACGGTTTAAGATATATATAATATAATATATATATATATATATATATCTTAAACTGTGATCATTACTTATATTATTATACTTTGAGCAACATACCATAATGGTTCAATTATTTAAGGTTATAGTTCATTATTATTTTGATAATATTGTTCTGTGATAATATGAAGATGTTGATAACAGAAGATATTTGAATTTCATTTGATATCTCATTATTATGTTGATAAGGTTTCATTAATTTTATTTTATTGAMCCAATAAAACTTATTGGACCAAAATCGGGCCTATAAATTTATGGATCAATAGTGACTAATGGTCAATAACTTATTGGTGCAATAACTTTGTGCAACGTATTTTAATTGTTATCGACTCAATTACTAGTTATTGAACCAATATAGTTTTGTGCAACCGGCCCATATATATGTTTTATATAATCTGTGGTAGTGACGAGCGACTTTTAACATCGATTCTCAGAAGCTACAGCGTCCAATGATTTATTTTTAAACTCCCATTATCTGATAATGTTTTCATAATATGTATTTGACAATATTATACTAAAATATAAACGATATATACTTATAAATAATAATCATAGAAGGGAGGAGGGCGATCGTCCCTATCTACGAGCCGCCATTGCGGCACTACCTTTTGGTACCAAATGTTAGTTAAATTGTATAATATTTAAATTTGTTTTTAAATAATACAAGAATTTTTTTGGCTTAGCCCACCCTAACTTAAATAATATCTAATTTTCTCAAAACTAAAACTTTTTTTTTTGTACACCAGGTGTCTTCAAACAAAAATAAATTTAAAAAAACAAAACAAGTAATAAAATTGATATAATATTCATTTTATCTCTCAGAATTAAAACGTCATAAGTTTTGTAAAAAACAAAATAAAATAGTGAAACAATGATTGTTTAAATATTAACATTATGAAAATTGAGATTTGAAATTCTTAGATTAAATTTTTTGTTACCTTTTCTTTTTATCTGTCTTACTTAATTTCAAAATTTTCAGATAAAACGATGTTGGAATGAAAACACGTATAAATTCTTATCCTATTTGTTTCAGAAAAAAGTTGATCACATCTTGCAATTCTCCTAAACAGGAATAGCATTTCACACCTTAAATATTTTTAAAACAAGTGTTTTATTGCACCAGATCTCAATCTGCAGATTCAGTTGTTTCTTAAGAGGTAAAACAATCATGTAAGATTASCWACACCTACAAAKTTTTCCATCACACAAAAAGTATAATATCTTACAATGATTAAAAGCATTAACAGAATATGGTTATCTGTTTGACATGCATTTGCATAATAATTATGGTGATGTAAGCATTTAAAACACACGGTAAACAAATCAACTATAAATGAAAACCAAGAGATGTAAAATTAAAAATATTTAACAGACACTGGTTTTAAAATACACTCAACATTTTTAGATTTTCAATATACTTATGTATATGAAAATTATATTCATTGAAAAAAAAAATAAACCTCAAAATGTTACCACATTATTTATTTTAAATATATAAAGAGCAAAACAATTTAAGAGTTGGCATTTGGTCCTCTTCTGCGTCCAAAAGTCTGAACAACATTAACAAAACGTCTGTTGTACTGAATGCGTCTCTTTGATCGTCCAGTTTTCTTCTTCTTTTTCTTTTCAACTTTTTCAACTTTTGGAGTTTGTCCCTTAACTTTTCCAGCACGAGCAAGGGATCCGTGAACTTTGCCTATATTGATTATTTAATATTAAAATTTCACATTTTAAAGGTAAAATAAAAATAAAAATATTTACCTCCTAGCAATGGAACAATTAAATCAATATTGAAGTTGTTTAAATCTCCAACAATTTGACTGTCATTAAGTGGTTGACCTTGATTATACAATGAAATTAAATTTTCTTCAATATCTTCCAAAGCAGCCAATTTATTCTAATTGATAATACAAAAATGATTAATTAATGCTGTATTAAGAGGATGTGATGTCTTGTATTACAAGTGSAAAACATGGTAAATTTTACTCTCAGTATAGTTGGTGTAAAAAGTTAGAGCGAATTTAACTCTTATAAAAAATAAAGGTAACAAAATAAGTCATGGGTTTTTTTTACTATATTTTTATTTTGAAGTGAGTTAGTATTTTAACTTTTAAGATGTACAATTTACAATTTTAAATCATAGAATATGAAACTCTAGACTACAGAAGAAGTTAAGTTGTCTAGATTTAGAAATAGTTGTTGTTGTTTCTACAATGTTCAGATAGGTGGCATTGTAGGGTTACTGAGCTACTTTGATATGATACAATACATATAAACACAAACACACATTTAATATACTTTTATACTAAATGAACTGCATCACTGTGCCATGTTGGCATACAATAATCAATATATTATTTTAAGCAATATGGGCTGGTTTAAAAATAAAAGGTCAATGGATACATGACTTAAGCACCTAAATGAATGAGCAGTTACTTAAAACTATTTCATGAACTTTGTATGTTGAGGTTCAAAATAAAATTATATAATAATCAAAGTACAATAAAACAAATTTGGGGATTAAATGTTTCAGAAGCAGAGTTGTTCAAAACAAGTCTTAAGTTAAATATGATATTAACTCAAAACATTTTAAAAATATTTATAGCATATAGAAATAAAAATGGTGAATATCAACAATAAATTTACGATTTTTGATGTCACTCGAATCACAAGTCTTAACACATGACAACAGATTATAATTGACTTACAGATATAATAAACATAATATTTACCTTGATTTGTGAAATATTCTCAAATCCTTGGCATTCCAAAGCATGGACATTTTGACCACGTACGAACAAATGCATTTTGAAGTTGCTAAAATTTTGATTAATTAAAAATTACAACTAATACAACAAACGAAAACACTTTTTCTTTGAGGTTATAGACTTCCATAACGAAAACCATATACAACACAATTCTTAGACATTTTATGCTAAAAAATTAGAAAAATACTTACTTTATAAACCAACGTCGATTACTTTTCTTCAAAATCTTCCTTCAAAATATATAATTTCTAAAGAGAGAACGGAAAGGAGGACTTGAAAATGTGGACACGGCATCAGTGAAAAAAAAGTACTTGGCACAAATGGTACAATAAACTTCGATTGTACAATGTACATTAACAGTAAACACTAAACAGTTACCGGTTACYATGTACAATGTACCATGGTTGCTTGTTCATAACAAATGTTAGAGTGTGACCAACATGAAAGTGAATATATGTACCAAATTTGTACCTAATTCAATTATTGAATATTGAATATTATAATAATTATTGATTATTATTAATTATTAATATTTAATATTTATCAATAATTATAATCTTTATTTTTTACTATTTCCGAAATTGGAGTGAAATAACCTCTTAAAAAATGTAAAGGTAAGATTTTTATCTTGGATATCTCATAGGATTTTTATTATAATATTTCAATTTTAAAGCTAGTTATGACTGTTATGAGTGTTTAAGATGTAAACAAAAAAAAACTATTTACAATACCTACTAATATAATCATAGGCGCAAATAAGGGGAGAGCATAGGAGATATTAGACCTTAAATTTTAAAATTAGTACCTTCAAGGCTTCAAATAATGATCATACATTTTTATCAAAAACTTCTTTCAAAAATAAACTAAAATTACAAAATTCATAGCATAAGTACTCTTGGTTTTTTTAAATTTAAATTGTGCCTATAAATATAACAACTACCTTTAAAATTAAAATATAATAAAATGCCTATGAGATGCTCTAATAAATAATCTTATGTTTACATTGTATGAGGTGTAATGTCATTCTAATTTTAAAAATTATAATGATTATAATCATTATTGTGATTGTAAAATGTGCTATAATGTACATCAGAGAGAAAAATTCGCAGACACCCTTTTAAGTTAAACTGTAAAATATTATAACAAATATATTGAAGGTACTTTAGTACCTATATCGATTATCGGCTATATCAGCTACCACTTTTGTGCATTGGATTAACTGTAGAAAATGCTTAGTCTGTTAAGACTGTATTCCAGAGTGATGTGTGGTAGTGGGGTACTTATTTAATATATAGGCAACTTCAGTAATAAAAAGCGGGAAAGTGGATGTCGCTCTGCTGTACAGTAGGTTACAAGTGGGTTACTGTAATGGATAGAGTTAAATTTGAATCCAATGATATTATATTATCATTGTATACGAAAAACGATTCTAAGCGAAGACGGTAAAGATAAACCTATATGTCTAGGATATATTATAGATTATTAAACATTTTCAAATAATTTTTTTTATGAATTTCTAGCTTAAGATAATTTGCGACTTTTCGTGATTTTTACGTATGTTGTCAAATT